AGCTGGTTTGTGGTTAAAGTATGATGTTCCCTTGCTGGATTACAGCCAGTTCAGTGTACTGAAATTCTTTATTGCTTGTAGGATTTAGTTACGAAAAAGATCATGTGCATGGAAGCTGTTGCCGTGTAATTAGTATCATTTTGGCCTGATGGAATCCAAATAAGTATTCAATGAAAGATTTGCACTGGGGAAGGACTATCCTATTTTGAGAACTAATAGATAATTGAAGTCTAACTAATGGTTGACCAAAATTCTGAGCATCTCCACAAGGCTGTTTCGAAGTTGTTTCTTTGTAGTTCTTGTTTTAAAAGCTTAACTTTTAAGATTGGCTGTAAAGCTGCTAAGAATTGCTAGGATTGGCGGTGTAGAATATGTACTGACTTGCCAAAAACAGGTCTTCCAGTTACTAGGAGATTTTACATTTGGCTTACAGTCATTGCAGATGCTGACAATCGATGGCAGACATGCATCACACTGACCCTAATCTGAAAGGGTCTGTGATTAAGCAGTGTGGTTTCAGTCTAGTGAAAAATTGTGGCAATGTTTTACAGGTGTACATGTAACCCTCCCTGACCATCCATGTATAGTTAGAAATTAAATTTACCATTACAATTAATGCATCCAGTTGTTCTGTTCATTTTCTTAAGACTGCAAAAATTTTGATCTCGTTGACTTCCTCGATGTTTTCTTCCTATTATCTTCAAGATTTAAAAACAAGTGGAATCTTTGCCAGTCCACTTATGAAGTCATAAGATGATTCAAATTCTTGGCCCTGTGGCACTGAGCCTTAACTTGATATTAACGTGACTGTGAAGTTACTACTCGGGTATAGCTTTGTATGGAAATTTTGCAGTTTGAGATCTCAACTACTTATTGGTTCTTACTTGTGCAAAATTTATCTAAGTTTTTTTTGAATGAATGTGCCAAGGAGTATTTATAGCAAAACTTTGCAGGAAACTCCGGTCATGGTTTATAAATTCAGATCTAAAGGTACCAGTACGTGGCCTTGAATTACTTATCCAAAATTTCATCGATTAAAGTGCAGTGATTCATATCATTTTTTAGTATCATGACACCTCTTAAGACCATCTGGACTTAAAAACTGATTCATGATGAAGACACAAAAAAGCAAGTTTCTGGAGAAACTTAGCAGTTCTGGCAGTATCTGTGGAGACAAAGCAGAATTAAGGTTTTTGGGTCCCGTGATTCTTCAGCACTGATGGCAGTTAGGAAAAGGTAGCATATAAGCTGAAGATAGCGGTGGGGTTGAGGGGATGGTGGAGGTGATGGTAAAAGAGTAAGCACTTGTTGGAGATGAAGCCCAGAGGGACAGGTACACAGGCAATTGGAGGGATGGGTAATGCTAAGCCAGGAATCATAAGTTGGTAAAAGTGGGTCGGCTGTGCTTAAAGCAGCCCATGCCATGAAAGAGCCTGGAATGTAGGGGTGGGTAAAGGACATGGAAGGAGGTGTTCAGGCTGTAAAATCTTTGAAGTTGATATTGAGTCTGAAGGCTGCAGGGTCCTCAAGCAGTAAATGCGATGCTGTTTCTTCCAGCTTGTGGTGGGGCAAAGTCACAGTGGCCATGACAGCTGACCCAGTTGTCTTCTATCCATCAATGTTCTCTGGAGTATACCAGTATCTTCCTGACCCTGGAGAATGGTTATCAAGCACTCAAATGTGAGGTTAATCCCTTTTAAAGGTTCCTTCTGGGATTATGGAATCTGCCGCCATTGTTGTAGTTTGTTTTCAGCTGGTGGTGAATGAACATTCTGCTTGACACTGCTGCACTCCCCTTAATGGGGCTCCCGTCGATGCTGTCAGGTAGAGAGTACCTGGATTTTCACCTGATGATGGTTGCATTCGAATACTGCGGCAGATGTTTGCAGATGGCTGGAAAATGGGAAGCCTTCAAAAATGAGATAGAGAGTCTAGAGACAGTGTGTTCCTGTTAGGGTGAAGGGCAAGGCTGGTAGGTTTAGGGAATGCTGGATGACTACAAAAATTGAGATTTTGGTCAAGCAAAAGAAAGAAGCATATGTCCAGTATAGACAGCAGAGATTGAGTGAATCCCTATAAGAGTATAAAGGTAGTAGGAGTATACTTAAAAGGAAGATCAGGAGGACAAAAATGGGACATGAGATTGCTTTGGCAAATGAGGTTAAGGTAAATCTAAAGGAATTCATTAAGGGATACATCAAGGACAAAAGGGTAGCTAGGGAGACAGTCAATGAGTATTTTGCATTAGTGTTTACTGTGGAGAAGATTATGGAAGATAGAGAACGTGGGGAAAAAGCAACATCTTGATAAACGCCCATATTACAGAGGAGGTGCTAGATGTCTTAAAATGCATAAAGGTGGATAAATCCCTGGGACTTGATCAGGTGTACCCTAGAACTCTTTGGGAAGCTGGAGAAGTGATTGCTGGGCCCCCTTGCTGAAATATTTGTATCATCGATAGCCACAGACAAGGTGATGGAAGACTGGAGGTTGGCTGACATTGTGCTACTATTTAAGAAAGGTGGTAAGGAAAGCCAGGAAACTGTAGACTGGTGAGCCTAGCATCAATGATGGGCAAGTTGTTTGAGGGAATCCTGAGGGGCAGGATTTACATGTATTTGGAAAGGCAAGGACTGATAATAGGGATAGTCAACATGGCTTTGTGCGTGGGAGGTTGCATCTCACTAACTGGATTGTTACTTCTTCAAAAAACTCAGAGGATTGATGAGAGCAGAGTGGTGAATGTGATTTACATGGACTTCAGTAAGGCATTTGACAAGGTTCCTTAAGGTAGACTGGTTGGGAAGGTTAGATCACATGAAGTACAGGGTGAACTAGCCGTTTGGATACAGAACTGGCTTGAAGGTAGAAGACAGAGGGTGGTGATGGAGGGTTTCTTTTCAGGCTGGAGGTCTGTTACCAGCTATTTGACACAAGAATCAGTACTGGGTCCACTGCTTTTTGTCATTTATATAAATGATTTGGATGTGAACATAGGAGGTATGGTTAGTAAGTTTTCAGATGACACCAAAATTGGAAGTACAGTGGACAGTGAAGAAGGTTACCTCCGAATACAACAGGATCTTGATCAGGTGGGCCGAGGAGTGGCAGATGGAGTTGAATTTAGATAAATGTGAGGTGCTGCATTTTGGAAAGGCAAATCATGGCAGGACTTATACACTTAATGGTAAGGGTATTGCTGAACAAAGAAACCTTGGAGTGCAAGTTCATTGTTCCTTGAAAGTGGAGTCGCAGGTAGGTAGGATAGTGAAAGAAGCTGGTGCACTTGCCTTTATTGGTTAGTGCATTGAGTATCGGAGTTGCGGGTTCATGTTGCAGCTGTACAGGACGTTGGTTAGGCCACTTTTGGAATATTGTGTGCAGTTCTGGCCTCCCTGCTACAGGAAGGATGTTGTGAAACTTGAAAGGGTTCAGGAAAGATTAGGAGGATGTTGCCAGGGTTGAAGGGTTTGAGCTGGAGAGAAAGACTGGGGTACTTTTCTCTGGAGTGTTGAAGGCTGATCTTTTATAAAGGCTTATCAAATCTTGAGGGACAAGGGTAGGGTGAATAGCCAATGTCTTTTTCCCTGGGATTGTGGAGTCCAAGCCTAGAGAGCATAGGTTTAAGTTGAGAGGGCCAAGATTTAAAAGGGACCTACTTGGCAACCTTTTCATGTAGGGGGTGATGCGTGAATGGAATGAGCTACCAGAGGAAGTGGTGGAGGTTGGTACAATTACAGCATTTAAAAGGCATCTAGATGTGTATATGAATAGGAAGAATTTAGAAGGATATGGGCCAAATGCTGGCAATTGGGACTAGATTTATTTCGGATATCTGGTCAGCATGGTTGAGTTGGACTGAAGGACCTGTTTCTGTGCTGTGCATGTCAGCATGTCAATGATTCTATATTTATTTGTGAAAAGTAAGCACGGAATGGCAGTAGTGGAGCTCAACGCTGTATTATCATACTCATGTCCCCACACACCTTGGGAGGATTAAGCTTTTAAGATATGAAAGTTTAAATTTTTACTTCTCTCATGGGACATGAGCTACTAAATTGTGTAGCTTTAGGCCACAGATTTGTAGTGTGTAAGAGACCTTTGTTTTGGTTTGGGTCCATAAACTGAAATGAAAATTGGTCTGTTGTAACTGGAATAAGAGAATTTGCACCTTGAAAATCAAATGCTGCATTTTTTTTGAGATGTGATACAATTATGCTCTCTGAAGTATTGAGAGGGAGAATTTGAGACCAAACTGCACCAAGAGTCTGTTGAATTGAGGAGATTCTGCCTGGTGACCGACTTCTGATTTGAGCTGCAGCGTGTTAATAGGTTTTAAGTGCCACAACATAGTAGCGTAAAACTTCCAGAGCCCACAAGCAGAAGCCATTCATCTTTGTCTCGATCTGTTCCCCTGTCCATGCCGCCACCCATCCTTCAGGAAAATATTCTAACAAGACAGGCTTAGGTCCACCTGAGCAACCATCAAGTCAAAGATCAAATGGGCACCAGTTAGACAACAGTGTGTCATTATTGTCAAAATCAAAAAAACTATGAGAAAATAACTTTCCATTTTGTGTCTCGACTTCTGATCTTTGGATTTTTGTTTATCCTGTCTGGTTTTTTTTTTCAACCATAGTATCTGTTAAACCATTTGTCTTTTGTTTGTCCTAATTGTGATTTGAGTGTTCGTGCATTTGGAGTTTTTGAAGGGGTATAGTTTAAGTTGCACAGTAATAGACTAGAAATCCTTACTTTGTCTTCCTTTAATAGTTATTTTTCTGTTACTGACAAAACCTAGTGTGAATTATGTTTATCCTGAAGTCAATCAAGCAAATATTGTGATTTCATTTGTATTTTATACACTTTCGGTATTTTGTGACGACTTGTGGAATAATGAAGATGATTGGTGTGTTTTTCCCAGCTGAATCGTGACAACTGTTTGAACGGTATAATCTAACACATTTTTCATTTCTCTCCACCCCACCCCCCTCCAAAAGGTCTCTGAATATGGATTTTGAAAACCAGGATAAAGATAAAGATGTGAATACTTCATCTGGTACTTTCAATGCAAACAATGCAAACAATAGTAAGTAGAACACAAGACTCGAGCATCATCTGGTTTCATTTTTTCATTACTGGTCATGAACCCTGTGGAGAATGTCATGTGTGTTGTTGTGATACATATTCTTCCTAGTATCTCAAATTTCAGTAGATAACGGTTAAATTATTTTCAAAGTGCATAATTTATTACAATACTGGCTAGTTTTCCGACAGTTGTGAAACAGATACCTAAATATTGTTTTTCTTCCTGAAAAAAATCATTCAGTGGGCATTGTGCCAGTTGCACAGAAGATGATGCCTACCACATAGATTCTTGTAGCATTGAGTTTGCAGTTCTGGTACAATACACATTGAGGTATGAATCTGTTATAATAAAGCAGTGTGTTGGATTAAAAGTTTTGTGCAGATGTAACTGCATGGACTATATTCCAACTGTCCAGACTCATACAGTACTTGAATTTCATACTCTCTCCTAAATTTTAATTAATGTAGAGAAGTTAACTTGTTAATCGCATTTTAAAATCTTACCGTTGAGATTAATTAGGGAGTGGAGAATTTGATACCATTGTTTTAGAGATGTCTTTGGAATGTTGTGGCTCATGTTTGACCGTTGGGCACAAAGTTTTAAAATTAAAACCAGATATGAGAACCTTAGAAAAATAATTCTCCTCAGAAATCGGTCCCCCCTTCAGTAAAACCTCCTAGATGAATACAAATTAGCCTGGGTCAGGCAGGCAATGACCCTGTCTGATGATCAGGTTAATGCACGGATTGCAGAGCAATAGGAGAGAAGCAAATGTCCATAAAACAAGCTGGAGAGAAAGGGAAAGCCATGGAAGGAAGGTGGAACAGGATGGTGGAAATTTTTTTAATTTTTAAAAAAAAACCTGGCTTTGAAAATGAAAATTTCAGGTGGATAACAGTAAGAATGATTTTCCTAATATCTGCATAACTATAATGAAGTCAAGTACTGCGGAATGAATAAATTGTTTTCTTTCACGCTTGAGGTTGATTATAACAGAATTGTTAAGATGTAATTTCTCAGTCATTATGTATTCACCATGTGTGAAGCCATTAAGAAACAAACCAACCAGATCTCTCGACTTTAGCAAGTAAAGAATTTGCTTCATTCTTGAAACAGACATCACTGTTAAGACTTTAAATGTTATCAAAAGGTGAAACACATCCTGAATCCTGTGACTCTCAAAAATACAACAGCATGCAATTGAACCAGAATGAATTGCAAGGTGTGGGGACGTGGAATTGGAGGAATAAAGTTGAAGTCAATAAACCTTTTTTTAAAAAAAAAAAATTGTACTTCCAAAATAATGGCCTGGAAGTCCACATGTTATGACCAATTTGATCTGGCTGTTCTTCTGGAAACATTCTTCAAGTACAATCAGTCCTTTTTCAGAATCTGTACTACCACAGATGAAGTCCCTTTTTTATTTTTAAATTTTCTGCCTCTGAAGTATCCCAACTTCTGGCAGAGATAGGATGGATCGGAGATTAAAAAAGATTGTTGAGAAAGTGATCGTATCGTGCCACCTTGATGTTACTACTTTCAATAACAGACCAGCTTATCAGAAATTTCATAAGGAGGAGTTTCAATCACGTGATAGCTGCCTATCGGTGCACAGTGGGCCACTGTATGTTAATCCATGACCTCTGTTTCTCAGTCCACAGTATTTTATTGTTGAGTTTTGGTCTTCCATTGTCAGAATTATCAGGATGCTGCTGAAGTAGATAGGGAAGTCTTCAGCACCCTTTTTTACTTGCATAATCGGTTTCTGTCAATTTTTCTTTTGTTTCTGGCTGTTCCTGCAGTTGTGGTACCTGTTGCTTATTGCCAGTTGTAACCAGATTAATGCAAATCTGTTCCTTAACAATGTTTTTTAGGAATTTTGTAATTCACTCTGAAGCTTGGCTAGCCTGGTCAGGTCTCTTCTGCAAGTATTTTAAAACTCAATGTCTTTGCTCATTTAAAGGTTTTTTTCTTTAAAACCAAATCCCAGGTATTATTAAGTTATAGTCCATTGTTAACAATTTCAAGACAAGTGCATTAAAAGAAAGCTGCCATTTGTCTTTACTTGTCTTCCAAGCCTAAGTATAGGGATCCAACTTGAAATGAGTTGCCCATCCAGGAGTTTTAAAAATGGCTTACGGAAAAGTCTGTCCTATCAAATGTAATTATTGGGTATAAGGAACCATCTCACATGTAGGTCTTGTAGAAGCAGTTATAGCTGCAGGCACATTGGCAGAATTTATGTTTATACTGGCCGTGGCAAAGTTTGTACTGCAGTTCATGAGTTTATGGAATCTAGAAAACAGAATAAATGCACTATATTCTGCCTACTTTACAGAAAAGGCTTCCTTGTCTCCTGCTTTATACCATTGCCCAACCATTTCTGCCAACCTGTTTGATATTGAGAGTTTAACCTGCCTTATTGAGTACCATTCAAAAAAAAAGTAAATTTCTAAAAATGCATATAACGAAATAGAAACTTAGAGCCAAGTTGCTAGTTGCACTTGAGTTGTATCATGCTAATGGACCATTCGGCAGCCAGCTCATACTGTTGTGCTTCAAGTTTTTTTCCAACCCTCTTCTCTTAATTCTGTTGGTTTGTTGCTCTGTTCTTGTTTTCCTTGCACAATATCAAGTTTCCCTTTAAACGTATCTGTGCTTTTTGACTCAATTCCTCCTAGTGATACTGCGTTCCACATTCTAACCCCTCTGTGGGTCAAAAAATTCCCGATTTTATATTTCTCAAATGAGTTATGTCTAATGAGGAAGAAAAACTTTGGCCGGTCAATTCCCTACGTATGGCTGCCATCCATTCTGCTTTGAATAGTTTTCTTGCTGCTACCAATGTGAGCCGTTGACACTTGGTATATTAATGACTTGTATTGACATAAAGTTTGGAGTGGGTTATGATGAGCTCTAGTAGTAGTACTCATCAGAATATTTTTACAACCAGTTTTTGTTGTTTCACTGTAAATGTTGAGACTCTAGAAATTGTCCAGACAGCCACAAGATTAACACCCGAGTTCATAAGAGAGACTCGACAAACTGAATATACTTTTAACACCATGTAGATTATGGAGTAATCAAATAAGATTTTGTTTATAATATTGTTGGAACTTGATTCTTTTATGTTGACTAATTATTTGCACTGAACAGGTTTGGAAAAATTAGGGACAAAAAATGGAGTTTAACCCTGAAAAGTGTGAGGTGATTCATTTTGGAAGGATAAACTTGAAAGCAGAATACAGGGTTAACGGAAAGATTCTTGGCAGTGTGGAGGAGCAGAGGGCTCTTGGGGTTCATGTTCACAGTTCCCTGAAAGCTGCCACCCTGGTGGATAGAGTTGTTAAGAAGGCGTATGGTGTGTTCACTTTCATTAATAGAGGGATTGAGTTTAAGATCGGTGAAGTTATGCTCCAACTATACAAAAGCCTAGTTCGGCCACATCTGGAATATTGTGTCCAGTTCTGATCGCCTCATTACAGGAAAGATGTGGAAGCGTTGGAAAAGGTGCAGAGGAGATTTACCAGGATATTGCCTGGAATGGAGGGAAGGTCTTACGAGGAAAGGTTGAGAGAGCTAGGACTTTTCTCTTTAGAACGACGAAGGATGAGAGGTGACTTGATAGAGGTGTACAAAATGATCAGAGGTATGGACAGCCGGAGACTTTTTCCTAGGGTGGAGGTAGCTATTACAAGGGGGGGCATAGTTTTAAAGTGAGTGGAGGTAGATATAGGGGAGACTCTTTACGCAGAGTCGTCAGGGCGTGGAATGCATTGCCAGAGAGGGTAGTGGAGTCGGCCTCATTAGGGGCATTTAAGCGGCTATTAGGTAGGCATATGGATGATAGTATAAGGTAGGGGTGGAGGTTAGATAGAATTTAGGATTAGGGTAAAAGTTCGGCACATCATAGTGGGCTGAAGGGCCTGTACTGTGCTGTACTGTTCTATGTAATGTTTACAAGCTCTAAAGGACCAAACTCAGATTGAATGTTAGGTAATTCTTGTTACACAAGTCCACCATGCTCTTATGAATAAGTTGGTTTCTACAATGAAAATAGCTTTGCTGTATTCATTTCAGAGAATTGGATTTGTTTCTCGTTGGGACCAACACTACTTGTCATGAGATAGACCTTCATTTACATTGTGTGGTGCCAATGTAACTTCTGGACTTTTATTGGTCAAATAAAAGGATGAGATATTTTTGGCAGATCACTTTGCTAATTTAGCTTTGTGTTTTAAAACAGATAGAAAGAGGTTCTGCTTAGGGAATATGAGCATCTGAGGGGAAATTAAAAAGCAGAGCCAAAAAGGTGGTAATCTCTGGAGCCACGGGCAAATTGGCACAAGATAAATGCATGGCTCAGAGATGGATGTGGGAGAAAATGGGTTCAAATCCATGGGGCATTAGCACCAGTGTAGGCAAAGGAGAGAGCTGTTCCAATGGGACGGGCTCCACCTGAATCATGCTGGGACCAGAGTCCTGGCGAACTGCATAACTAGGGCTGTGGGTGGGGCTTTAAACTAAATAGCTGGGGGATCAATTCATGGATAATTAAGGAAAATGTTAAAGTGGGGGAAGGGCTCTGCAGAGTTTATCAAAGTTTCCAGAACAAGTAATAGGACAGAATATGGAAAGAGTCAGGAATCCTAGCTTCAGGGACAGCAGATAAGGGGGCAGTTATGACATGGAGGGGGCAGTAAATGCAGGACTGAGGATGTTGTACTTTAAATGCATGCAGTGTATAAAATAAGGTAAACAAACTGGTAGCACAGATTGAAATTGGCACCTACGATGTTCTAGGTATCAGATGCGACTGCAAGGGGATCAGGGCTGGGGTCTGAATATCCACAGATATGTGCCCTATCTAAAGGGCGGACACGGGCAGGGTTACCTTGTTAGTAAGAAATTAAATTAAATTGATAGCATGAAACAAGAGTCAGAAGGTGTAGAATCTGTCTGGGTAAAGTTGGGCGACTGCAGAGGGGAGAAAAGCCCTG